TATATTAACTAGGTTAACAATGTTATTCATATATCACATTGTTAACCGAACCATGTGAGATATGGATAACATTGTTAACCTAGTTAATATAGTGGATACGTACTGATGAAACTGTGTAACGTAATCACTGCGAAATTGGAAGGCATAAATATATTTGATTTCCGATCAGAGGAAAACAGATTAAATATTAAGCTTTTTTTTTTCTCAGAGTAAGACTGTTTTGAGCATATTTTTCAGATTTTGGAAAACATTTTATTCACATATCATAACCTAATGATTTAACATTCATGTGTATACGATAAGCTCATAGTTTAATATTCATGCGTGTATTATAAGTTCATAATTAAATATTCATATATTTGTGATAAGAATTAAGAAAATTGATCTTTTGATACCAAACGTGTGATAATTCAAACCCGCTATCGGAGACAATAGACCTGTGAATAGTTAATGAACGATAAGTGCTTGATCTGAAGTGGATTCATATATCCTCTTTGATTATCGATAATAATATTCGAATTCTTTGTCTTTGTGGCACAATACAGCTTCATTGAATGGATCCGTTTCTCAGGAAATCAGGCTTACTGAACGACGACTGCTAATTGCACGGAAATAGTATATGTCATCACAAAAATCTGTTACTTTGCATTTTACATAACTGATACATTTTTTTCAATACATTACACAACAAATACCGTATGTTGAGGTTGATAATACTAACCTGTAGTATAAAACTTGAAGATTTCTTCATACACTGTTCTGTATTAGCTGATGTAGACTGAACCTTTAACGTGAGCGAGTAACGTATTCCATCTTTTTCCTGCAACAAGAATAGAACAAGTTAAAAATGCAGCATTACTGGTCATATTAGAGCGCGGTAAATCTGAAGGTTTACAACGCTAAAAACTGGGTTTCGATACCCTTGGTGGACACGGTACAGATAGTCCATTGTGTAGCTTTGTATTGAGAAATAAACAATTTCTAGTATCAATTTTTTTCGTTAGAATACGTCAAATCATATATAACTTTTATATTTTATTTTTTACAAACCTCGCATGTCTCAATAAGTTCTAATTGTCTTAAGATATTTTGTGACCTTCCGGGCGCGTTTTAACCCCCGTTAGTACCCTAAATAAATAAGATAAGGACACCTCCTCCTGGGGCTACCCCTCGTTCGCCTGTGAAGTTTGATCCTGATAGTTTCAAAAATGTGTGACGATTTCACGATCAAAGGAATTCACAAATACAGAGTGAATTAATATAGGATTATCGAAGCTCATTCGCTGCGCCACTACTGTAGTGTGCGTTTTTGTGACAACAGGTTGCGAACCACGGATCATCGGATTTTTATCCGAGCCTATTAACCACTAAGATACGTCCTGCACATATTATATAAAAACCTTCGATGATATAATAGGACAATAGTAAAAATAAATGACAAAATAGTCATTTGCTGCACTAAGAATTGAGGGACGCAACCCCGTAGAAAATAAATTCAGTACTATAATTGAACTGCATGGGACATACTTCGTGTTTACCTCATTTTTAAAATGTTTTTTTGTACATTATGGCGAACATATATTGTGAGGCTTTTAAAAGTACTAGTTGTCATGGGTAACTCAATAAAACAGTTGGTAGAAACCTATGTCGCTTTGTACGTTAAAATAAACTTTTTAAATTCATACACTTATCACAAATATCAGCCCCCTAGTGGCACAGCGGTAAGTCTGAAGGCTTAAAATCTGGTTTCGATACCCATGGTAGGCGCAACATAGATACCCGATGTTGTAGCTTTGTGCTTAAAAACATACAATTTATAATATAAATTTTTCGTTCAATACCACACCAAAGTATACGGTTAACGTCTCAATTGTGCACAGGTATCGCTTAGAAGAAATCAACGTTTAGCTTGTAATCAACTTACCGCTTAATCAGATCATTAAATAAAAGCGGAATTAAATATGTATGAGTTTGTGTATAATAAACGTTCAGTAATCGGGCGTGTATTGTATTTATTATACAAAATATCAAATGTACATGAAACGTGCCGATTGCAAGGTAGACGTGTAACAGTTAATGATCCATCGAGCATCTTGAATGTTAGCTATAACAAGTCAATAAAAATCTGTATACTAGAAAAGCAGTTACATTAGTCAATAAGAAGCATAGAATTTGATTTAAACCATTTGTTTCCTTTGAATATGTTATCTGCTATTTTCATTTATAACTTAACTCTTTTATCGTATTAACACAAGATTTACTAACATAGAAGTAAATATTTGTAAACTATCAAAGTCACAACAAAGCTTACGATGCAAAGTTTAGAAAGCACTAAAAGAGACCTACTGAGGGTTAATCGCAAATTATAAGAATGATGTTTGAAGTACCGTGCTGCCATCGTTGAGCTACCTTCTTCAACGTCGATCATGCTCAGCTTGACACCGCACTTTCTATTGTAAACTTCTGCAAAGGATGGATAATTCAATCTTAGACCTAATGTCTTTCCAAAGACCCTCCACTGTATGTGTTCATTGGCTATTAAAAACCCTTTTGAACAAACAAAAGCACAATGATACAACACGGGAGTTGAAAGATAATTCGGTCGAATGGGATTGCTGTGAGTTCAGTGTCTTTGACTATCTTTTTCATGAAAACAACCTTTGATTTCGAGATGTGGCTGATAGCTTGTGATCTTTTAGCTTGCGAGCTTTCATGACCTTCAACTCCTTGTGTATTATGTTGTTAACGGTAGCAGGAGATATGCCAAGCTTCATTAAAATTGATTTGGGTTTAGAAGGTTGTCTTTGGTAATCATAAACACTCACTGAGCAGATGAGGGCGTTGTCCCAGATTGGTCTGAGGTGTGGTTTTCGAGCCCGTTTACTGTCCTAGATGCTATGCTGTGCGAGTTTTTTCGCTTCCATAGAGAACATTGAAGAACCCCTTTCATTCTTTGTCATTAATTTTTACTGTTTGAATATTTATGCCTTTTTTATATAAAAAGGCGACAACATATTCCGTCAGTCATATGAACACCTATGGCACCATTGCACTGTCGAATGATCGGGAATTCGCCGTGAACAAAATGTTTAGGTATAAAGTACGTCACCCGTGTGCCACGGCTCGCATTCTGCGGCAACACGTCACTACATTAGCATGTGTAAATCGCTCTTATAAAGTGCAAATAACTCTGTAATTGGTAATATTTTTTTCTCTTTATGTCTTCCTTACATTAGCAAAAATATAGAATTGTTTGGTTAAATTAGTTGCGGTTGAGTTTTCAGAGAATGTGTGACACAATGATATTATAAAGATATAGAAAACTCAATTTTATCAACTGTACCAGTATGAGCCAATGTTAGCGTTTGTTACTTGGATGTTGCTAAAAGTATATTATTCGTTTTCAAAGAAACTACGCCATGAGAAATTTTAAATGGAAAATAAAAGTCTTTTTTGAAAGTTTTTTTTTTAACTGAAAAACCTATCCTGATATATCGGTCCCACTTATGGGGTTGTTTGGAACCTAATATGTTCTATTTTCCGAGTAATAATACAATTATGTTATTTTTTCACTCATAGGAAAATTTGACTATTTATTTATGATTTGTTTATGTTGTGTTTGGAATTCTGCCACAAGCAAGTCACGAAGAGCATAGCTAGCAGTTGTTAATTCACAAAATCCTTATAAAGTCCTAACCCGTCCTTACAGAAAACACGACCTTTCCTATCTTGTAGTCCTGCGAGAACAAGCAATGGTTGCCAACTTCATGCATGCACATATGTAATTAGTCTATACAAAAAACGAAATGAGCTTGATGTATAGAACTTTGAACGCTGTACAAAAATATTCTTCTACAAATCTCATCAATTTTCTAAGGCCATTTTTAAAACGTTACAAGTATTCAAACATAATCTAAAGGAAACAGAAACACTACAAATTTCACCCAATTACATCGTTCATGTCCTCATATGTACGTTCCCAGAAAACAAAATAGATATTTATCAATACTCCTCATAACACGAGAACTTTACGTTGTAATTACTCATTTCTTTCAGAAATACGTTAATATTAAAAAGTATATATTTTAAGAATTTACAGAAGCTGTATTTAGAACACTGACATTTTGCAAATGTAGATGTTATGATGTAGTTTTAGAGAGCTATATTTATATGTTATGGCTATGCAAGTGTGTTATGTCTAAGTATATATAATATGACTAGACATTAGTACTGCGGCTAAGTATATGCATAAGTGTCTTTGTCTAAGTAAATATACATTATGACTAAGGATGTGTGATATGGCTAAGTATATGAATTGTGTCTAAGAATACGTTCTGGCTAAGCATTAGTGCCACGGTTAAGTAAGTGTCTTTGTCTAAGTAAATATACATTATGACTAAGGATGTGTGATATGGCTAAGTATATGCATTGTGTCTAAGAATACGTTCTGGCTAAGCATGAGTGTCACGGTTAAGTAAGTGTCTTTGTCTAAGTAAATATACATTATGACTAAGGATGTGTGATATGGCTAAGTATATGCATTGTGTCTAAGAATACGTTCTGGCTAAGCATGAGTGTCACGGTTAAGTAAGTGTCTGTGTCTAAGTAAATATACATTATGACTAAGGATGTGTGATATGGCTAAGTATATGCATTGTGTCTAAGAATACGTTCTGGCTAAGCATGAGTGCTACGGTTAAGTAAGTGTCTTTGTCTAAGTAAATATACATTATGACTAAGGATGTGTGATATGGCTAAGTATATGTGTTGTGACTAATGGTGTGTACTATCGTTAAGTATGTGTATTTTGACTAATGATTTGTGCTATGGCTAAGTGTATGTATTATGCTAAGTACGTGTTTTATGAATAAACGCGTGTTAAAACAAGGTGTGCATAATAAGGCTTGTGTTATAGTTAAGTATGTATTTTATGGCAAAGTTTTATTGCTATAGAAGTCGTAGTCAGTGCTTGCTAAGTTTATCTCTGCATTTTCTAAATAAGAGGATTATCTTTCGTTCAATAAAAACTTATATAATTCGTGGCTTTTAGTGCCAACTACAAGGTTAGTGTTCGAATGAAACCTGACGAAGCGCATCTAGAAATTGGACCAACTGTCTTCAAAATATTCAGAAATTTTAAAATCTAAATTTATTAGGGATAAATTAGATCCTAAAATTCCAAGCTAAAAATCAATTAAAATATTTGGTTTAAAAACGTGAGGTAAGAGAGATAAACAGCGAGAAGGTTTACGTAAAACATTTAGTTCCCGAACTTTGCATATTATTAGGATATTTTTCCAGCAATTGATATGTTTTACAAAAAAAAACTTACGATTCTTCAATTGTCAATGATCATAGTGATTAACCTTTGAGTTTGCTAATCAAAATAGCATATTGTACGAGCTTCACCCACGTGCGGTGATTTGGAGATGACGTTTCGAACTGTTTAACTAAGAAATAGAGCAAATTTAAACTCAATACTTTTTTTTTTACTCCAGTGGATTTCAGAAATGAAAGTAGATTATTCTGTCTAAGTAATTACAATACCAAAGCAATGATATGATAACAGAATTAAATTAGATAAGCAAATGAAATTTAGAATAATGTAGTATGAGCCCATGTTGACATATCTGTTACATAGCTATGGAATAAATGATATCGGAAAACCGAAGGATCAACCAAAAAGTCAAGCTCATAGAATTTAAAAAAAAATCGCAATCAGAATAAAATAAACATTAATACGCAAGACAAATAACTTACGTTATAAAATAAAGTAATGAGATACATCAATTAAATACAGAAATACAACTAAGCTAAACT